ACAGAAAACAATTTTAAAACCCTATGTTTCAACTGTGTGTGTGCATATAAGTATTTGATAAAGATGTAATTTTTTTTTACTGAGAATTACTACTAGAGGGACAAAAGGACTTCACAGATAATCCTTCAGAGATATAAGAGTTCTTAAACAAGCTCTTGCTAAGGGTTAGTCAGTAAATGGATTGATGCAATATCCTTTGACAAGAGTCTGTAGTGCAAATATTATTTCTTGCTCTTGCTTTAGAATAGGACTTAGCGAAATCAGAACCAGGAAGGTGAGGAATAGGGTCAACATATCAGAAGTACTACTATAAAATGTCCAGAGAACAAGAAAACAGTAAGTTTGACATTTCCTATGGAAACTGAGAATCTAAGATTCCACCTGGCTGGAAAATCCTTCCATCTGTGTGACCCAAATCTAGATTCTTCCTTAGGAAGGTTGGTCAGTGGCAGAGAGACTGACAAATTATAGGGTATACTCAAGGAAACACTGCCAAATAGAAGTACTGGCACTATCCTTCATAGTACAGGTGGACTGTGAGATCATGGGTTTTGATTGTTTTCTTTTGGCTCAATTAGAAAATTTTTCCTAGAGCAATAATTTTCTACTTTACCTATTCTTGTGAATATAGGAGATGAATATGAAAGTGAAAAGAATATGCTACCTTCTGAGTATTTCCTTTACAATTTAACAAACTGCTGGACTGAGCACACTGGCACACACCTATAACTCCAGCCTTTGGGAAGCCAAGGCAGGAGGATGGATTGACCAGCCTGGGCAACATAGCAAGATTCCATCTCTACAAAAAAGTCGTTCAGAAATTAGCCAGACATGGTACTGTGTGCCTGTAGTCCCAGCACTTGGGAGGGCTGAGGCACAAGGATTGCTTGAGCCAGGAGTTTGAGGTTGTAGTAAGCTGTGACCATGCCACTGTACTCCAGTCTGGGTGACAGCATGAGACCTTGTCTCTATTTAAAAAAAAAAATTGCCTGGACAGACACAGTGGTCCACACTTGTAATTCCAGCACTTTGGGAGGCTGAGGCAAGAGGATTGCCAGAGTCCAGGGGTTCGAGACCAGTCTGGACAACACAGTAAGACCTGTTATCTATAATAAATCAAAAAATTAGCCAGGCATGGTGGTGTGTAGCTGTAGACCCAGCTACATGGAAGGCTGAGGTAGAAGGATCACCTAAGCCCAGCAGGTAGGGGCTACAGTAGCCATGACTGTGCCTCTGCACTCCAGCCTGGGCAACAGAGTGAGACTTTGACTCAAAAAAAGAAGAAAAAAAATTTTTTTTTAACAAACTACTAATTTTAAAGGCTACTAAAATATTAATAGTAAATTAGGTAAATGTTTTATGTAACATATAGATTACTATACTAAAGTAGTATGTTTTAGGACAGCATTTTGGTTTTTAAATTTTAACTATCCTTTAATACTGATTAGAGGATATCTTATTTTTATTAAAAGGTTCTTATTTTACTGAAGATGGACTCTACGAGGAACTTACTATAAGGCCACTTGAACCCTGAACATCAGTATTATATTATGGATTCTTGCCTTGTCCTTCTGACCAAATCTCTGACTTCGTTGGACCTTATCAAGGTCTTCTAGGACAGGAGACATTTTGCACTCGACAGTTAAACACCCAGGATGCTCAAGCTAGTTGGAAGGCAAAGCTGAAGTCAAGGACCCTCTCTCAGGATGGGGGCAGTCAGGAGGTGAATGGAGCAGATAACAGGATGAGAAGAGTGAAGAATGGCAAGGGGTCAGAAGGACCACAAGAGAAGTACATGACAATGAACCAGGGTAGGTGTGAGCCATCAGGCTGAACTCCAGTCCCCAAGTCTTGCTGGTCCAGAGGTCCTTGGAGCAGCAGTCACCAGCCTTTTAGGCATCAGGGACAGGTTTTGGGAAGACAATTTTTAGCGGGCAAGACTGGTGGGGAGATGGTTTGGGGATGATTCAAGTGCATAACATTTATTGTGCACTTTATTTCTGTTATTATTACATTGTGAAATACTTATGCAACTCACCATAAAAAGGAGTGGTTAATGAAATAACGGGCAGGCCATGCACAGATTAAAATAAGTGTCAGATTCCGACTTAAAGCCTGCCACCAGATGCAGCTGTACAATCAAAGTACATCAACTCACTTGCCACTCACTGATAAGGTTTTGATAGGAATCTGCAAGCAACTGATTTATTATGGCCTCTATGCAGTCAAACCTCACTGCTAATGTTAATCTGTGTTTGCAGCCACTCCCTATCACTAGCATCACCTCCTCAGTTCCACCTCAGAACAACAGGCATTAGATTCTCATAAGGAGTGCGCAACCTAGATCCCTCTCATGCACAGTTCACAATAGGATTTGCACACCTATGAGAACCTAATGTTAACACTGATCTGACAGAAGGCAGAGCTCAGGCAGTAATGTGAGTGGTGGGGAACGGCTGTAAATACAAATAAAGCTTCACTCCCTCACATGCTGCTTACCTCCTGCTGTATGGCCCAGTTCCTAATAGGCCACGGATAAGTATTAGTCCATGGCCCAGGGGTTGGGGATACTTGCCTTACAGAATGAGCAATGAGCTTTCTGGAGAACATTTTGCACTTCAAAAAACAGAAACAAAATGCTTTTTATTTTAGAAAATTTCACACATACAAAAGCCTAAAGAATAATATAATGAATCTCCATGATAACTTAACTTCAACAATTATCAACATTTTCCCATTATTGTTTTCTCTCTCTCCAGCCATGCTCCCAGCCACTCTGTCACCTTTTTGTCCTCCTGGGGTATTTTTTAAAATGCCATGTCATCATATTAATTTACTCAAAAATACTTTTCAATGTGTATCACTAACAGATAAGGCTTTTAAAAATATAATGATACCACTATCACATCTATTAAAATTAATATTTAATTATCTTAATGTTATCTAATATGCAGATTGAGTTCAATTTTCTGCTATTACTTCACAAATAAATTTTTTACAGTTGTTTTGTTGGGTTTCACATGCTGCATTTGATTTGTCCTCTAAGTCTCTAGCTTCCTTTAGTCTATAACAGTTATTATATTCCCTTGTCCCTTCCTTTTCTTGTGCCAATTATTTACTTATTAGAACTCTCCACATTCTGGACTTGTCATCATGGTGTCATTTAACATGTGTATTCTGGTCCACTAAGTTATATCTAGAAGCTAGCCTTCGGATTCAGTAACTTGGGTAAGATGGTATGGCGACCTGGTGTGGTGTGCTTCCTCTGTAGCATGTCAGGGGCACAGGTCTGCCTGTCTTACCTTTAGCAGAGTTGAGATTGCTCTTTGGGCTCAGGTACTTGTCATTGTGATTCATTCATTAAAAGCTCCTTATCATAAACTACAGACATGATTGCAGGTTAAAAATAAATAAAATACAAAAAGCTCCTTATCAGTCTTGAACCTAAAGGTTTTAGCAGTCATTAGGATAACTCCTTGCATTCCTTATTTTATTCGAGGATGAAAAATATAATTTTCCAAATGTATCTTTTCTTCTGCTTTATATTGCTTACATTCTTCATGAAGAACTCTCTCTCATCAATTATTTGGTTTCTCTGAGATAGGGTTTGTACAGCAAAGTCCGCAGCCCATTTAAAAAGTGAGATGGCACCTAACACTCTGACATTTGTGACCTTGTTCCCACTTCAAGTGCTTGGAAGACTAAGGTTCATTCTCATCATCTCCACATCACCAGGACATGAAGCATAGATGCTGCTAATAAACAACAGAATGTATTGAGTGCTCTCCTCTTAACTGACTATTCCCAAATTTCACTGGTCTTCAAGGCCCAACTGCCATTACCTTCATAAAGTCTTCCTTGGTCCTCCTACCTCCTTCCTACTGGAAGTCATCTCTTCCAGTCATTTGACAAATATCTTCTCTGTTAGATGCCAGTCACTGTACCTCTTTTCTAAAAACTTTCCCTTTACTCCTTATAAACATTTATGTATTTTATCTTCTTTTCTAGATTCCTTAGTAGCAGGGTTTATGTTTTATTTTGCTTTCTATCTCCTTAGAGTGTGATAACCTTTTGGGGAAGTCAATAATTACTTCTTTAAAAAAATAATAAGTTAGAAAAGAAGAAACCTTTGAATCCTCACATTATTGAACTTTTTTTCTCTTAAAGGTGAATAAATATGTAATACATTTAGTATAGAATGCTGCTTTTTAATAATTCAAAAATATAATGGTAGACTTCTCCAACTGCTAACAAAAATTATGTTAATTAATCAATTTTCATTTTCTCCTGACATATTTTTCCTGTTTTATCTGCTTTTAGCTTTACGTGCCATCTAAAGTAAACTATGAGGACAGGTACAGTGGCTCACACCTATTTGGGAGGCTGAGGTGGAAGGATCACTTGAGCCCAGGAGTTCAAGACCAGCCTGAGCAACATAACAAGACCTCATCTCTACAAAACATCAAAAAATTATCTGGGCACAGTGGCACATTCCTGTAGTCCCAGCTACATGGGAGGCTGAGGCAAGAGAATGGCTTGAACCCAGGAGGTCGAGGCTGTGGTGAGCTGTGATCATGCCACTGCACTCCAGCGTGGGTGACAGAGCAAGACCCTGTCTCTCAAAAAATAAAACTACAAAAAAGTTTAAATAACTATGAGTGCTGTTTCCCAAAGCATGCCTTAATCATGGTTATTGTACACAGCTATTGTGATAGCATATGTGACAATATTAATATGATTAATTCACTATGAAATATTTTTTGATTTCTGCACTGTGATAGAAATAAAGTTGATTAGTCTAAACACAAACAGCTGTGACAGTATTAAAAATCTGAAAACATGAAAATGCAAACTTTAGTTCTGAACTTTTGCTGGTGAATAAGAATGCCAAAGTGTGATCATTTTAATGAGCAAGGTTTTGAAGGCTAATTTCTTAAATGTGTTAATAAAATGATGTTGTGTATAAAAATGATAGCAAGGCAACAAAAGGCCTTTCTTACCAAGAAATCAAGCTCCTCATTCAGACTGTGATACTTATCCAGCTTGGCTCCCAATAAGATAGGTACATTTTTGACATTCTCTGCTTCATCCGAATCAATGTCTGTGACCTGAGATTAAATATATTTGTTCTCACTTTCAATATTCTCACACTCTTTAGAGCATTTGGCAGTAATTACTTTATTAGTTTAAAAATCAAAGAGACTATCAGTGGCTAGGATCATAGAAGTGTAGAATTTACAGTTAGAAGGACTTCAAGACATCTACCAAATAACATAAATATCTGAAATTGTATTTTTTTAATATTAAAGACAGTACATAGTAAATGTGAAACTCACCTCAATGATGTGTTCCTGAAATGCTTTTTCATTAGCAATTAACTCTCTAAAGGTAGTGATTCTGTTTTTATGTTTCAGTAGCTAAAAATAAAAAGCATTTTATATTTTAGAGGAGAAGAAATATAACTACATTCTATGTAATCCCAGTACTTTGGGAGGCGGAGGTGAGAGGATTGGATTGTCTAAGCCCACAGGTTCGAGACCAGCCTGGGCAACTTGGCAAGACCTCATCTCTACAATAAATAAAAAAATTAGCTGGGTGTGGTGGCACACATCTGTAGTTCCAGCTACTTGGAAGGCTGAAGTAGAAGGATCACCAGAGCACAATAGGTTGAGGCTGCGGTGGCCATGAGCGTGCTACTATGCTCCAGTATTCACTATGAAATATTTTTTGATTTCTGCATTGTGATAGAAACAAACCTGCTGGGCTCCGGCGATCCTTCCGCCTCAGCCTTCCGAGTAGCCGGAATTACAGGCGCGCTCTACCACGCCCGGCTAATTTTTTGATTTATTGTAGAGATGAGGTCTCGCCTGCCCAGGCGGGTCTCAAACCCGCGGACTCAGGCAATCCACTCACCTCAGCCTCCCAAAGGTGCAGGATTACAGGCTGAGCCACCGAGCCCGGCTTCCTTTTTTTTTTTTTTTTTTAAAAAAGTTGTATCTTGTTCTGTTGTCCAGACTGGAGTGGCAGTGGTGCAATCATGGCTCACTGCAGCCTTAAAATCCTGGCCTTAAATAATACTCCAGTCACAGCCTCCCTAGTTGCTAGGATTACAGGTATGAGCCACAACACCCAGACCTATAACTACTTTTCCCCCAAAAAATGTATACAATTTTTAGATGAATAATAAATAAAATACCTCTTTATCTAAATTTTTCTTTTTAAGATGGAAGTTCTTCAGTTTTTGCAGCATTATATCACTAATTTTCTCACTCTCTTTGAAATGTTCAGCATCAGGATTGGTGATGTCCTAAGGGTAATAATTTGAGAAACTATTAACATATTAAAAGGTCTTTAGTAAAGCTAAAAGGAGGCAGAAAAAAAATGTATATGCCACAAATCTCCCTTCCAAAATAACTGACAAAAACAAATGAGGTAAAACAATATTGAATTCTATTCGTCAATTACACATCAGGATACATCTATCTAAGGGTTAGTACAGAAAGTCTTCATATTGATTCACACTTGTATATAAGTTATTACTGGAAACAATTAGTCTAGTTGCCGGGAAGCTAATACTCGTCTATAATAATTATCCATGCTTACACATCCATACATACATTCCCCTTTTCTTAGTCTAGTCAGTTTACAAATCCAAATTTTAAACAGATTGCTATACTTAATACCAGAATAATCACACAACCTTAACAATACTGAAACTCTAGTTATTTCAAGAGTACCCTGAATGAAGACACTTGTCCCAACATGACCTAGGGGTCAGAAGTGTATGGGTTCTTTCTGAGACTTAACCACACGTGAGACTTTGGACAAGAAACTGAACTATTCTAATCCTTGGGTTGTTTCTCTCTGTCTTTAAAAAAGAAAAAACCTAATAATATAAAGAATGGCATAAGGATTGAAAGAGAGAACGCATAAAAATCAGACAGTAAACTTAAATGCCTCCAAAAACAAATCAGAAAATCAGTAAATACCTCCTGAGTGCCCATTATGAATTTGAGCCTGTCTTAGGTACTAGGCATACCTAATGTGCCTATTTATTTATTAGGTTGATGCATAAGTAGGTAGCGTTTGCTTTTGGCATGGCAACACAGCAATGTTGGGAGTTTATAGTTTCTCATTTGTCACTTGGAATGATAATGTTGTGCTTGTGAATACGCCTTGCATTTTGCAGATTTGAATAAAGTTAGTCCTGTTTGTGGGTCAAAGAAATGGAGTGTCAAGCAGAAAAAAATGAACACTTCCAATATAGTCATCTGTTTGAGTTTAACAGAGGAGTAAAGGCAGCAGAGGTGGCTCAAAACATTTGTGTCGTGTGTAGGGAGTATGCCAACAAAGAAAGTACAGCTAAAAAATAGTTTTGTCATTTCAAAGAGAGCTAATTTGACTTGAGTGATTCTCTATGTTCAGGAAGACCATTGGGCTTTGATGAAGACCGTTTAAATGCTTAATCCACAATGATCCATGTCAGTCAACCCAAGAATTGACAAATGTGAAATGGACCGGTCAATCATTGTGTGACATTTACATTCCATGGGCAAGCAAAAAAAAAAAAATTTTTTTTAATGCTATGAACTTATGCATCAGCACCATATATACCAAGTCTCTGATTTTGAAGGCTTGTGTTCTTGTGGGGGTGGGAGATCCAGAATAAGGAAACAGTACTATTTCTTTGAGATCTACTAAGAAGGCTGGCAACACTTTACCATTGAAAGGTCTGGTAGAAACGAGCAGCCAGCAAATAAGATTGTAAAAGAATAGCAGCCACCAGTGACAAAGGAGAAACCCAAGCAAGTAAGGTGAGCAAGCAAATGTTTGAAGGGGCAAAGGGGAAAGGCAGCAAAGAAGAATCGGTGCCACATTTCAAATGCTAAGAAACAAAATTTGAGGTAGACAAAGTCTGTAAGCGACTGCTTTGTGACCTCTGCATAAAATGCTTAGTCCCGTTTCCAATATTCAATACATGCTAGTGTTCAAATTTTAGTAGAGACCAAACAGAAGTAGAGTTTGCATTAAATCAGGAATTCTACAAACCCACACCTCCAAATTTTGGCTTGGATGAGTGTGCTTAAGATCAAAGAAATGTAAATAATAGATGAGAAGAGGAAGAGAGAGAACTTGCTAGTTTGAGAATCTACCAAGTGCATGGCCTTTGATTGTTCTCTTCATTAATTGTAGTGTTTATAAGCTCCCAGGACAGCATCATCACTTCCCCATCTTAAAGATGAGGAAACCAGGCGGAGAAAGGTTAGGTTGCTTGGCCAAGTTACACAGCCAGGAAGTGATGAAGCAGGATTTGAACTCATCTGACTAACTTCACTTTTCATTCTACCAATGTACACAGCTCCAAACTGCCCTCCCCTTGCTGTCACTCAAAAGCTATATCTTAGATTGGGCAAGCAGCTCGTGAATGTAAATAATCACTGATCACTAGAAGCACTCTCCCCATCTATTATTTATATTTCTTTGATCTTAAGTACACTCATCCAAGCCAAAATTTGGAGGTGTGGGTTTGTAGAGTTCCTGATTTAATGCAAACTCTATTTCTGCTAATCACTAATCACCCAGAGTACCTGACTATTGCTCTGAGAGCATGCTCCTGAAATGTGGGAAGTACTAAATGAAGGGGTTTACTTGACACCTCTACTGTTTATCTTATTACATTCTATCTTACTGTAGACTTGTGAGAATTATGTGTCCAAGAAAGATAAACAGGAAGAAGCAGTAGATGAAAAAAGGGCAGACTGGTTGGTTTAGGGGTCTGTATTTTATCTTCCTTTTTTTTTTTTCCCACCACTTAATTCTGTCACCTTTTATTGCCTCTCTACTATTAGTCCAACTCCAGTATTCCTTCCTCCCTTATTAAAAAAAACCTGATTTTTGAAAATTACCTGGCATGTGAGAAGTCCTGTCATCAGAGCCAGAAGACCGTGGATTATGGAGGCCAGCTCAGAAGTCCTTTGCACATCTGGGGGATTCAGACTCTCTTCTTCACAAGGTGAGCAATTCAGGAACAGGTTAGAATGTATAGTCTTTGTATCCTACATGCACACAATTCAGAAGTGTCATAATGAAGATGAAGAATCTGGAATAGCTTTTATATAAAATGCTGAAGAAAATATCACTCTTTAAAGCCTGGGGCGGGCCAGATTTGGTGGCTCAGCCTGTAATCCCAGCACTTTGGGAGGCCGAGGTGAGTGGATTGTCTGAGCCTGTGGGCTCAAGAGACCAGCCCAGGCAACTTGGTGAGACCTCATCTGTACAATAATAAATTAAAAAAAAAAAATTAGCCGGGCATGGTAGCACGTGCCTGTAGTTCTGGCTACTTGGAAGTCTGAGGCAGAAGGATCGCTGGAGTTCAGCAGGTCGACGCTGGGGTGGCCGTGAGTTGCGCCACTACACTCCAGCCTGGGTGACAGAGTGAGACTCCAACTCAAAAATAAAAATAAAAATAAAACCTGGGGTGGTAGTTCTCAAACTTTACTCTCAGGACCCCTTTGTACTCTTAAAAATTATTGAAGACCCTCCTAAGCCTTTTGTGTATATGGGTATCAATTTTCAAATATTTGTTTGCCAATTTATTTAAATAACAATAAATTCATTATATGTAAATATAAATAACAATTTTTTAACTAAAACAATGGCCATATTTTCCAAAACAAAAAATTAGTGAAAAGAGTGGCACTATTTTACATTTTTTGGAAATATTTTTAATGCTGGTTTAATTGAAGATAGCTGGATTCTCATGGGGGATGGGAGGGAGTGGTGTCAAAAAAATGTCTACATGTTTTAAGTATGACGTTCACTCAAAAGACGATGTTAATCAAATAAATGCTAGCATAACCCTGTGACAGGACAGTCAAAGAAAATGGTGGAAGCATGGTTGCACGAAAATCATACTACACATTGCTACCGTAATTTAATTCTACTTTGAAAAGTAATACATAGATATGTATACTTTTTTGGCATCCCCATATATGCTTTATGTATTCCATCAGCCATGAGTGCAATTATATCACCACAAGTCATATACCTTCTTAAAATTCTACTGTATGCTTGTGAAACAATGAGAGTTAAAAAGGCAATAATATCTAATATTACTGTGAAAATACTTTTGACTTCACAGATACTCCATACTTTGAGACCATACTTTGAGAAAACCTAGAGTTAGCTTCTGAAAAGCAAAACTATAAGTAGAGTAAGTATGAATTCAGAGTGTTAGAGGAATTGATTAGTCAAAATAATCAAGAAAGTTTAAAAATAAAACAAGAAACTTTACTTTTTTTTTTTTTTTGAGTCAGGTTGGAGTAGTGGAATGACATGGCTCACTGCAGCCTCAACTTTCTAGGCTCAGGTGGTCCTTCTGCCTCAGTCTCCCGAGTAGCTGGGACTACAGGTGCACACCACCACGCCCAGCTAATTTATTTTTGCAGATGTCTCAAACTTCTGGGCTCAAGCAATACTCTTACCTCGGCCTCCCAAAGTGCTGGGATGACAGGTGTGAAGCACCGTGCCCAGCGCAGTTTTACTTGTTTAAAAAAGCTCATGAAGAAAATTATATACCATGCTAAACTTCAGTACAGCTAAGCTAACTCATTCAGAATTTACCAATTCAATATTTGTCACAATTTGGTTAGGGGTTACACTTAAGGTCATCTTTGCTTAGGTCAGTGGTTCTCAAAGTGTGGTCCTCAGACTAGCTGGGATATTGCTTGAAATGCATATCCTCAGGCTCTGAGGTAGGGCCCAGAAATCTGTTTTACTGAATCAGAAACTCTGAACTACTGAATCAGAAACTCTGAGGTAGGGCCCAGAAATCTGTTTTAACAAGTCCTCCGGAGGATTCTGATGCATATTCAAGTTTGAGAACCACCAGTTTAGATAATTCTTCTTTCTTAGATCTTATTGAGATTTTAAAAACAATAGGATTATTTACTTGCAAACAATACTTTTAATGACTACAGATTTATAAAAGAGGGTCCATGAAGGACATCTTCAAGGTAATATCAGCTCAGTTCAAATTATTATAACAAATATAAAATAAACATATATTTTTATTCAGATTAGTCTTCTCTCTAAACAGCCAGAGTTAATAAGATTTTACTATACATACTTTATGGCAGGCCTACACAACTGAAATAGTTGTGCTCTGGCCTGTGAAAATTACCACTTTTGGAATGTGCTTTCAGATTCATTGATGCCAAAAGATTCTTTTGAATTACAGATGACGAAAGATTACATTCCCTCCAAACATAGATAGGAGGTTCTGATGTTGTCTTTAAGTACTTTATACTTTTATAAAATTAATATATGATGTAATATAGGCTTATTTTGCCTTGTAAGCCAAATACATAATTGTATTATTTAGCTTTATTGCTGAATAGGATTGAGAGCACACTTAGAAAATCCTTTCTTAAAAGTAACTTCTGGGAGATGCTTCAAATGATTGGTGATGGGTACCCCAAAAATTCCCAGGATTATTGTCACGTCTACCAAAATAAATATATCAATTACCATACAGACTGCAAGCTCTCTTTTGAATAAAGACCTTTTTAAAAATTCCCTACTCAAGCTATTGCCTCTATATGCTATGACACTTATGAACATTAGAATGGCAGAATATGTCTCATGATTAACTTTATGCCCATAAGAAGCCAAGAATGGCTGTTCTTTAAGCTGAGTACTCATGAACCAAAAGAAACTTCTCTAAACGTGTGGTATATTTTCCTTTCTATATTTATTTCTTTTGTTGTTGTTGTTGTTGTTAATACTTTCTGCAAAAAAATATATGTGCGTGCCATGTCTGTTAGACTATTAGAAATTCTTGAAATTCTGCATTAGAGAATGAGAATCTGCATCTATACCTTGGTAATGTCTGACTCCATAACTTCTAATTGCTCCTTTAACTGAGCTGTCTCAAATTCAGAAACATCATTTTGCTCCTTGCTTCTTGCAACCTGCTGCTTACATTTTGCATTTTCATTTTTTACTTTGTTGATCTGCTGCCGAAGCTTTGTATTCTTAGCCCGTTCATTTTCAGATATAAGTTGTAAATTTTTAACTTGAGCATGCAATTTCTCAAGCCTAGATTTCCATTTCTGATTTTCTTCAAGTTTTTCCTTTTTATGTTTCTGGAATTCCTCCTGTAAAGACAAGAACTCTTGTTCTCGGATCTCTTTTTCCCTTTTCAACAAGTCCAAAGCAGAAGCTGTGGTCTTCTCCAATTCTCCTTTGAATTGCTGCAACCTCTCTACCTCTTCTTCTTTCTTGCTTAAGATTTGATCCATCTCTAAGCAGTAACTTAGACATTCATTTTTTTGTTGCATTTCAGTCTTGTGTCTTTTCCGTAAACACATATAATTGGCCTTGATCTTCTTAAATTCAAGCTGTAAGGTTTCCTTCTCATTCCTAGATTCCTGAAGATGTTTCTGGGTGTTAGCTAAAATATCTTGTAAATTCTGCAATGTCTTTTTAGTATTTTTATTCTCTAGGAGTATTTTGTATTTGTCTTCAATTAATTCTTCAACATTCTCCTTTAGCTTATTTATGACATCAGTAAATACTTGCTGTTCGGTAGTCTTCATCTGTAGTTCTTTAACTTTCTCCTCTAAACACAGGTTACTATGCTGGAGGTCTTGGATTTGTGCTTGCTGCTTTCGGTTAGTATGTTTTAATTTCCATAAGGCTTCATTTAAAGCCATGTCCTCTTCCAGAGGCTGTGAGCTTTCCAAGCTTTCCTCCAAGTCAGCTGTCTTGCAGTTCTCCCTAGATGTTCCACTACTAGAGATGTCTGCTGGAGACCAAGTTGAGACAATTTCTGGCCTCTCCACACACTCTACTGTAACTTCCTTTTGGTGACTGACCAGCATCTCTGGGATCTCTCCAGAATTCTGTATTTCTTTTGAAGAAACTGAAGTCTGTAAATTATAGTAAACAAAGTGTGAAAGAATAGAAATATCATGAGCTTTGATAATTCTAGATCAGATAATTCTAGATCCCTTGTTCAGTCTCCTCAGTTATAAAATAATAATGATACCTACTTCCAATAATAATAACTTCTTAACAAAAATTAATACCTAACTATTAATTGCTAAATGTATGTATGGCATCTAATAGCACAGCAACGCATAAGCTGTTGATATAAGAGAGATCCCATTTACTTTGACAAACTAAAAATTAAACTTTTATGCCACCTCCTATGAGGCAAATTTTTCTGAGCACATATAAGACGATTTCTTTGACTTCAATGAGTTAAAACAAATAAATATATCAATTACCATACAGACTGCAAGCTCTCTTTTGAATAAAGACCTTTTTAAAAATTCCCTACTCAAGCTATTGCCTCTATATGCTATGACACTTATGAACATTAGAATGGCAGAATATGTCTCATGATTAACTTTATGCCCATAAAACAGATTTTGGAATGTTTTTAAAAAGACAGTAAATTGTGATAAGAAATGGTGAAATGAATAGGACATTAAAAAGCCAGTAAAAGTTGTCTGCTTTTTACCTTTCATCATGGGATGATGTAGCATGAAGACCAGATGCTGGTACCATGCTCTTGGGCTTCCCAGTCTTCAGTACTGTGAGTCAAATAAATTCCTGTTCATTATAAATTACCCACTCTTGGCTGGGCCCAGTGGCTCAGCCTGTAATCCCAGCACTTTGGGAGGTGGAGGCAAATGGATTGCCTGAGCCTGTGGGTTCGAGACCAGCCCAGGCACCTTGGCAAGACTTTGTCTCCACAACAAAATCTAAAAATTAGCTGGGTGTGGTAGCACGTGCCTGTATTTCTGGCTACTTGGAAGGCTGAAGCAGAAGAATCGCTGGAGTCCAGCAGGTCAACGCTGGGGTGGCTGTGAGTGTGCCACTGCACTCCAGCCTGGGCGACAGAGTAAGACTCCAACTCAAAAAAATAAAAATAAAAATAAATTGCCCACTCTTGGCTGGGTATGGTAGCTCATGCCTATAATCCTAACATTTTGGGAGGTTGATGTGGAAGGACTGCTTGAGGTCAGGGGTTTGAGGCCAGCCTGAGCAATTTAGTAAGACCTCCATCTCCAAAAAAAAAAAGTATAAAAATAAAAAATAAATTACCCAGTCTGTGACTAAGACAATACCTGACCTATACCACCACTCCATCCTCATCTGCTGCATTCCTCCTGTTCCCACCAACTCTGATCTTCCTGGACACCGGGCTTCCTTCAGGTCCTAGCAAGTATCATGCTTCCGGCAGTCAAACGGTTTGCAGACACTGACCCTTCTGCATGGAATGTTCTCCCACCCATGGTTACCTAATTAATTCCTGCTCATCCTTTAGAGCTCAGCTCAGTGACCATTTCTTCAGGGATGCCTTCCTCAGATTCCCTGAGCAGGGCAATATTCTTACCACAGACACTCATCCTACTTATATTTACAACACTTACCACAGTTGCAAGTTTACATGTAACTTTATATAGCATTATAAATACTACATATGCTTTATATGTGACTTTTATTTGCAGAATTTATCATACTTGCAAGTTTACATTTATTTGTGTAATTATTTGATTAATATCTCTCTCTTCTATTAGGGTGTTATTTTCATGAGGACAAGAACAAAAAAATCTTTTGTTTTTTAATCAATACATAGTAGATACTTGGCATATAATAGATGCCTAAAAGTATCTACTGACTGACTGAAAAATGAGCAAATGCAATGGGAAGAGGAAAGAACAATCTTGAGAAACCCGGCTTAAGTAGGTTTTTAAATTTTTTTTACCAGAAATCAACACGGGGAAATAAAGTTTTCTTTTAAATGCTACCATCTACTTCAAGTAGGTAAACAAAAAAGTTCTCATGCTTATAAATGAAACATAATAGCCATAGCATTTTTGATCAAACTCACATTGAAAAGGTATTATTTATAATGTTCTTGAATTATATCTATTTACCCACACCAATTCCAGGAATCTTTATTTCTTTTGTTCAGAGTACATAAAATTTATACTGTTGGTATCTTCAGTGCTCTTAGGATACTACAAGTGTGCGCAGAATCAATAAACCAAAAAAACTAATGTTTTTACTTTGCTAGAAAAATTAACATTTTTTCTTGTTAATAAAAGTCCAACATGATAGAAAAAAATCTTAAGCTTTTCTTGTCAGATAACTTAATTAACATCTCCACTCTCTCTTCTCGATCTTTCCATTACTGTAAACTCTACTAGTTCTAGCCAGTTTGATTTAACAAATACATAAACTTATTATATTCAAGAAACTATATAGATGCTATGGTACATAAAAGGATGAATAAGACAGAGTCCTGATCCTTACCATTTGGTAACACTAATCCCCAAATATAAACTTGATTTTATTAGAAAAATTTGTTTCTGAATTGGTTAAAGCTCAGAATGCATTTTCCCCAGAGGAGTGAAGTCCCTCATGTTGACTAGATAATTTAACACTACTTGGAAAAGTCTCAGATTATATACTTTATTTTTTAAACAACACATCCTTTAATACTCCACAGGCTTTATCATCCATTAACAATCTTACTTCCTCTGTTTTATAATTAACTCTAAGATCAAGCGGGTTAAAGCTATTCACTATATAAAATGATTTTTCAACAGTATTGTGCATACTTTCCTTATACAAGAAGTTATGAGGTTGATTAAGGCTGTGGGCAGATTTCTTGGTGGTACTTTTAGCCAGTGACTTTTCTGTGAATTTCACTGTCTCTCCACTGCAGTGGATTACAGGTGGGTTTCTAAGAGGTTGCATAACACATTTATTAGCAGGTTGGACTTTATTTGTAGAAATACTAGTTTCCATTGGATTTTCTTCCTTAAATAAATCTTGCTTTATATTGATGTCTTCTGCATAATTAGACACACGGTTTTGCAATTCTGGCTTCTCTGTTATTTCATCATTAAACGCTTCTATCCAGTGAAATTTGCAAATGGGTTCAAATTGTCTCAAAGAGGAAAAGTTGGTGCTATCAACTGACTGAAATAGTGCATTCTGTGAGTAATTTCCAATGTTGTTATCTGATTAGAAACAGAAGGAAATAAAAATGAGTTGATCATAAACTTATATGATAACAATAATATGTATATAAATTTAGGTAGCCATTTAAGACATATATTATTTCAACCTTATTTGTTGTGTGGATTTTAGCATGGCTCTGTGTTAGCAGAAACAAAACAAAACTTTTTACATGGGGGAAGATGTCACCAAATGACTGCAACAAAAAAAATTGTTATATATCATTTTGGTCAAATACCATTTCAGTTCCAAGATTTACTTTTTTTTTTTTTGAGTTGGAGTCTCACTCTGTCGCCCAGACTGGACTGCAGTGGCTGCTCCCGGCCACCGCAGCCTCGACCTGCTGGGCTCCGGCGATCCTTCCGCCTCAGCCTTCCAAGTAGCCGGAATTACAGGTGCGCGCTACCACACCCAGCTAATTTTTTGATTTATTGTAGAGATGAGGTCTCGCTGCCCAGGCGGGTTTCGAACCCGTGGGCTCAGGCAATCCACTCACCTCAGCCTCCCAAAGGCGCGAGATTACAGGCTGAGCCACCGAGCCCAACTCCAAGATTTACTTTTAAAATGTTTTAAATTATAAAGTGTTTCACAAGGATACAGAAGCACCAAGCATAGCGTAATAGCAAACACATGTACACTTGTTTAATCTCACAACCACGAGGTCAGTACTGTTATTATCCCTATTTTACAGATAAAGAAACTGAGACATAAGAGATGTAAAGTCACTTGCCTAAGATCACAGAATTGCTAAGCAGTTTCTAAAATGCTACTTCTCAATTCTACATTATATTGCTTTTCACTATGACAAATTATGCAGCATTCAGGTTTTTAAAAATCAGAAGTAAATAAAATCAAATGAAAATAAAATGTTACAAAGTCAATTAATGACCTCTCCCTTCTAACTTTCCTCCTTCCTTCCTCCTTAGAGATAACCCCTGTACAAAAGACTACATTCGTTCTTTCATCCATATTTTTCTAGCTTTTACCACTCATTTATGTATCCTGAGTAATCAAGTTCTTAAATAACCAGGTTCCCAGACTTCCTCATTGTATGACACCTTTAATGTCTCAGTAATTTTTTCATAGCACTTCTAGACCAAAATAAATAGCTAACAGTTGTGTTTAGTAAGCAGTTAAGCTCAAACAAGTTATATTTGTCCTTTTCTTTTTTTTTTTTGAGTCGGAGTCTCACTCTGTTGCCCAGGCTGGAGTGCAGTGGCATGATTACGGCTACCACAACATCAATCTGCTGAGGTCAAGTGATTCTTCCACTTTAGCATTCCAAGTAGCTGGGATTACAGGCACCCCATCCATTTATTTATTTGTTTGTTTATTTATTTATTTAATTTGTTGTAAAGACAAGGTCTTGCCATGTTGCCCCAGCTGGTCTTGAACTTCCTGGGAGGAGGCAAGTCTCTCACCTCAGTCTCCCAAAATAAACTACGCCCAGCCTGTCATAACTTATTAGCTGTTCGAAAATACACACCAACTAAAAGAAAATATAATGTTCTATTTTATTCTTAAACAACTACACTTACTTACTACTTGGATATATATACCCTTAGGCACCATACAGCATCTCAAACCTTGGAATCAGACTGGGCAACACCACCCTCACTTCCTATTCCACACTGACTTTCACATAGGACTTGCTTTTTATCATAGCAACCTCCAAAAATCTTCCTTTGCATATAAGGCATCATAGAAAGGACAGTATTGGTTTATATTGAAATAGTAAACTACCTAGAGCTAATAGTTTTAGGGTCTCATAGATGCCCAGTATCACTGTTTCCCTCAAATTCCAAAATATCCTGCAATACACTAGGCAAAAAATGAATATATAGTAATGTTTTATATGCTTTTGTATTTACATACGTAGCATCACACTATATCCATATAAAAGTCTTTATTTCACTCAGAATGTTGCTTTTGCGACTTAGTCACATAAATACATACAGATCTATTCATTCTACTGAACAATCATACTTTATTCCCTTTTTGCTAGCTATTTAATTTGCTTCTAATCTTATAAACAGCACTGCAGTGAACATCCTAAAACACATCTCCCTGTAAACCACATAAGAATGTTTTCTAGGCTCCAGGTAGACAAAAAGTAAAGTTGCTGGATTATAGAAAATATACACCTTTAACTTTGATATTATAAAACTATCCTCCAAAGAGGTTGTACCAATTTATACTTCTACCAGTAGTCTAAGGATTCCTTTGCTCTATGTCCCTTCAAAACATGTCATACCATTATGTATGAAATGGTATTTATTTACTTATTTTTTATTTTTTTGAGTTGGAGTCTCACTCTGTCGTCCAGGCTGTAGTGCAGTGGCACACTTACACCATTCCAGCATCAACCTGCTGGGTCCAGCAATCCTTCCACCTCAGCCTTCCAAGTAGCTGAAACTACAGGCGTGCACTATCATGCCTGGCTAATTTTTTGATTTACTGTGGAGATGAGGTCTTGCCAAGTTGGCCAGGTTGTTCTCAAACCCGTAGACTCAGGCAATCCTCTCACCTCAGCCTCCCAAAGTGCTTGGGATTACAGGCTTGAGCCACCGCACCTGGCCAGTTTTCTTTATTTTTTTGAGTCAGAGTCTTGTTCTGTCCCCCAGGCTGGGGTGTAGTGGCACAATCATGGCTTTCACAGCCTCAACCTCCTAGGCTCAAGATGATGCTTCTGCCTTAGCTCCCCAGTAGCTGGGACCACAGACGTATACCATCATGCCCAATTAATTTGTTGATTTTTAGAGACAAGGTCTCACTGTGTTGCCTAGGCTGATCTTGGACTCCTAGGCTCAAGCAATCCTCTCACCTCAGCCTCCCAAAGTGCTGGGACTACAAGGCGTGAGCCATTGTGTCTGGTTCTGTTATTTTAATGTACATTCTTTCCTGTATTTAATAGTCTTGCAGGTTTCCTTTTCTGTGATCTGCCTGTTGTATACTGTTGTGTCAGGGGCTGAATTATGTGTCCCCAAAATTCACGTTGAAGTCTAACCCCCAGTACCTTAAAATGTAACTCTATCTGGAGATAAAGCTTTTAAAGAAGTAATTAAATGTTGTTATAAAGGTAGGCCCTAATCCCATATGGTTGGTGTCCTTATAAGATGATAAAGAGGCATCAGGGAGGTCTGCAGAGAAAAGACCACGTGGATACACAGCAAGAAGGTGACTATCTATCTGCAAGCCAAGGAGAGAGGCTTCAGGAGAAAACAACCCTACTGGCACCTTGATCTTGGACTTCTAGCCTCTAGAACTCTAAGAAAATGTATTTCTGTTGTTTAAGCTATCCAGGCTGTGGTGTTTAGTTATCGCAGCCCTAGCAAACTAATATTTTGCCTGTTTTTCTACTGAGCTATATGCCTTTTTCTCATAGACTTAGAATTCTTTATTGTAGATACCAATTCTTTGTCAATTATATATTATATATTTTGCATGTATCTTCTCTCAGTCTGTGATTTTTTTACCTTGTTGATTATACCTTGATCATCTACAAGTTTTTTTATCTTAATATAGTCCAATGTACCAATTATGGTTTGTATTTTTCATGTCTTAAGAAGTCTTTCTCTTTCTTGTCATGAATGCATTTTCTAAAATTTCTTTTAGAAGTTAGAGCTTTACAGTTCACAGGTAGGTCTTCACCCGTGTGGAATTTACTTTTGTATTGGGCGTGAGGTAAGGTTCTAATCATTTCCCACATTTAGAAAGCCAACTGTTCCAGCACAATTGGATTAATTCTTCCACTGGTTTATAATAGTATCTCTCTCTTAGTATCCATATACATAAATGGCTCTATTTTTGGACTCTGTATTCTGTCTATTCCACTGGTTTGTTATCCTTCTGTCTATAACACATTGTTATAATCACTATAACTATAATAAATCTTTTTATGTAACAGGACAAATCTTCACATCTTTTGCAAAATTGTGTTGGGTAGTTTTTAAAAACTTATTTCATTTCTAAATGGAAGGATTAGGATCAACTTTTTATATTGATATTATGTTAATATCTATTTTTTATGTCCTCCAGGAAGGTTTTATAATTTTTTCATAGGAATCTTATACATCTTTTGTTTTATTCTTAGGTACCTTAGTTTATGCTGCTACTGATAAGAGTACGTTTTTAATTACTTTTTTAAATCTGCTGTTGTTAGTACAGTGGAATGCTGTTGGCTTTTTATATTAATCTTATGTCTAGTATTTTTCTAAATTGCCTTATTAATAAGCTCATCTGTAGGTACTTATAAATTTTCTATGTAGAAAATCACATATTTGCAAATAATGACCATTTATTCCTTCTGAATTCTTTACCATTTATTTTTCTTATACCTGCATGTACTGAATTCCTTATTTTCAATAAGGCTTGCCAAATCTTTCAATTTTAGTATTACTTACAAGTATTAAAATAAAGACATTTCTATACAACATTTAGATTTGCTTTAATAAATATGATCGGGCTGGGTGTGGTGGCTCAAGCCTGTAATCCCAGCACTTCGGAAGGCTGAGGCCAGAAGACTGTCTGAGCCCACAGGTTCGAGACCAGCCTGGGCAAAATGGTGAGACTTTGTCTCCACAATAAAAATTTAAAAATTAGCCAGGCGTGGTAGTGCACGCCTATAGTTACAGCTACTTGGAAGGCTGAGGTGGAAGGCGCACTAGAGCACAGCAGGTCGACGCGGGGGTGGCCGTGAGCGTGCCACTGTACTCCAGCCTGGGCAATGGAGTGAGACTCCAACTCAAAATTAAATAAACAAATAAATAAATATATAAATAAGATAAATGTATCTTATTATATGATTAACTCCTAAAATAGCTTTCATCTACCAATGTAGGACTAGAATAAGAGATGTGGAGTTATATCAACACGCATCTTTTAAGATACTTATATAGTTCAAAGTTCTGGAACTTGACTCACAGCTCATTCACTTAAAGCTACATGACTCGGTAAATTACTCTGAGTCTTACTTCCCTTATCTGTAAAACAAATCTTGATTCCGTTTTTTAAAAATCCTTATTTTGGCTGGGCACGTGGCTCACGCCCATAATCCCAGCACTTTAGGAGGCCAAGGTGAGAGGACTGCCTGAGCCCATGGGTTCAAGCCCAGCCTGGGAAACTTGGCAAGATCTCATCTCTACAATAAATCAAAAACTTAGCCAGGCATGGTGGCATGTGCCTGTAGTTCCAGTTACTTGGAAGGCTGAGGCAGAAGGATCACCTGAGCTCAGCAGGTCGAGGCTGCAGTAGCCATGAGTGTGTCACTGTATTCCAACCTGGGCTACAGAGTGAGATTCTGAGTCAATAAATAAATAAATAATAAAAAATTCTTATTTCAATAAGATTGTTTGTAGATTAAATGTAATAATGTATACAAAGTAGCTATTATTACTATTATCCTAAAACAAAAAAAAATCTGTTTAGCATTTTGCCAACAAAGCGATACTTACCATCTAACAAATTGTCTACGGTGCTATAAGCATCTCCAGAAAGTACGGAGTTACACTCATTTTTCATTTTTATACTCTTTATTTCATCCTGTGTTAATAAAAAGGCATTAATATTAATACTTCAAGCAAACTTCCCAAGCTGCTTCTAAAGGTGCACATACATTGTTATGTAATTCTGCTTTTAGAATATTTTGTTGCATAGGCAAAATATGCTTGCTAGTAACTTTCCCCACAGTATATCTGGTTCCCTTTGAGTAAAACTATGCTAATAAAGTCACAATATTAAATGATGAGACAAATAGCTTGCTATTTAAATAGTTTGGTTTTTTGGTAAGTCAAATCATGTGACCATAAACATAGGAATATGTGATGTTATACATATCTTACTGATAATTCTTTGATGTTTATTAAATCTGTTGTAAGCAGCACTAAAGTAGTTGTTATTTAGTCTTTTAACACTGAATATATGTATAATACAGGATTCCAATAATAAGGATTCTACTAAATGGGAATTTATAAAAATTCACATAGGGCTTATTCTCAAAGTTACCTTAATGTTATCTAAGATGAAGGGCTTATTAAGTTAATTAATAATATAAATAAGATAGTAAGGAAAATTTTATTTTATCACTCTTATTTTTTTGAGTCAGAATCTCACTTTGTTGCCCAGGCTGGAGTACAGTTGAGCAATCACAGCTACCGCAGCCTCAACCTGCTGGGCTTAGGCGATCCTTTCGCCTCAGTCTTTCAAAGTAGCTGGAACTACAAGCACACACCACCACGCCCAGCTACTTTTTTAAAAAATTAATTGTAGAAACAAGGCCTCACCATATTGCCCAAGTTGGTCTCAAACTCCTGGGCTCAAGCAATCCTCTTGCCTAAGCCTCCCAAAGTGCTAGGATTACAGGCATGAGTCATCACACTCAGCCTGGGAAAATATTTTAAATGTCTGAGGAAAACATTGGTTTAATCATTAATAGTATATCAAGCATGTGGACCTAAATGATGCTCTAAAAAATTGTTATCTCTTATTAAAGTCAGCTGGCTACAAACCTCTATTCAATAATGCCTTTTTAGCATTGTTCTATGTATTAACTATACTTGAAGTACAATAAAAACTGAGTTATATCTTATTACAATCTGTTGTCAATTTAAAACATCCCTATGAATTTATGAACTAGATTTTTAAAGTATTGAGAATAACATACTTAAAAATATTTCTTTCATATGCATTGATGTTTTATTTTGCACAATCTGCTTGAGACTCTACTACTCATAGAATTTCAGAGATAATTTCTGATTAGTCTTCTCTGATATTGTGGTTTTTAACTAAAATATAACTTTTGGGCCAGGCTTGGTGACTCAGCCTGTAATCCCAGTACTTTGGGAGGCTGAGGTGAGTGGATTGCCTGAGCCTACGGGTTCAAGACATGACATGCCCAGGTCAGTTGGCAAGACCTCGTCTCTACAATAAATCAAAAATCAGCCAGGAGTGGTAGCACACACCTGTAGTTCCAGCTACTTGGAAGGCTGAGGCGGAAGGCTCACTGGAGCCCAGCAGGTGGAGGCTACAGTGGCCGGGAGTGTGCCATTGCACTCCAGTCAGGGCAATAGAGTAAGACTCCAACTCAAAAAATAAAATAAAATAAAATAAAATAAAAATCTTTTGTTCCTTTGGCCTATGAATTTATTATAAAAGAATAAAATATAGCTGGGTATGGTGGCACATGCCTGTAGTCCCAGCTACTTGGAAGGCTGAAGTGGAAGGATTGCTTGAGCCCAGCAGGTCAAGGCTGCAGTGGCCATGAGTGTGCTGCTGCACTCCAGCTTGGACGATAGAGTGAGACTATAACCAAAAAAAAAAAATTTAGTACATAGTATCTTGGACCCTAATTAACACTGTAATAGCATGACCCATTTTATTTTTTCAAAATGAAAAGATTTTTATAATTATAAAAAAGAATCCTGAACATTGTTTAAAAAGAGAGAAGCAAAATAGAAAACACTCAAAATCTCACTATCCAGTAAAATCCAATGTGAACATTTTCTACGCCAACAAATTTCTATTATCATATTTAAGGTTTACATACACAGTATATCTGTACAATAACTTAATTAGTCCCATACTAGTGAAAATTTAGGTAGTTTCCAATGTTTAGTTATTATGGACAATTCTACAGATATCTCATTTGAATACTTCCTAGAGACAGAATTTTAAAATGCAGTTTAACTCTTGACTTCCTATCACTAAACAATCCTTTAGAAAGGCTTTGCTAATTTATAGGCAGAACCACATGAAATTGTCAATATTTGTCAATTTCATATGGCACAACTTAATACATTCCCATTATTTCTCTGTACTCCTTCTAGTAACAAACATTTAGAATAACATTCGTAAAGACTGTAATTTTAGTCTTTTCTTTTGTAAGAAAGGGCACTAGGAATTTTAATGACGATAAGATGGGAGTCACTCACATGCAGGGTGCTGTCAGTCATGAATGACAAGCGAAATATGTGCACACTAACATAGTGGAAGATGCACTGGACCAATGGTCAGACCCCTGGGCTCTTGTCTTGCCTCTGTGATTTGTTGTGGCCGTGTCCCCTGGCTGCACTCTTGGGATTTCGCAGGGAGGCTAGAAACAATCGGTTTTAAACACACTGTCTGTAAAATTGTACCTTTCTTTGCACATGAATGGACCTGAGAAAAACAGACTCTTTATTCTCCTCCTTTATATTTCCACTAGAGATTCTTTTATTGTTCCTTATATTTTTTAGGAAATTTTCATATGGAAGACAACATGAGTGTGGAATACATCTGAACCTTCCAGAACTTATAAGCAAAGCACACCTGAGGCAAGTCAGAAGTGGTACTGTTGGTTTCCATACAGATGGGAGAACCTGAGTGTGTTAAGCCTTGAGGAAGACTGCTGACATTCATGGCATCTGATTCTGACATGCTTTTTAATTTTTCACAAGAAGTATCCACTTCAAAATGTACAGCATCTGAAAGTGATGACCAGGATTTTTTATAGTCCTTGTTCGTAACTGTTGAATAATGGAAAGCCTCTTTAAAAACATACTTATAATGTTATCTATTAGTATATGCAAACTTATAGTATATGCATACTTATTATGTCAGTCTATTAGTATATGCAAATAAAAAGGGTTTTTTCCTTCATCCCTCTTCCCATTAAGAAAACAGCAAAGTGAACTGCTGTAAATTTTTAAATGTCATTTGTCAAGTTATTAGAAAAATAAATTTTTTTTCTGAGTATACCATAATTTGGCAAGTAGTAAATACTGATTTGGACAAAACAAAGTCAATATGCGTAGCTACTATCCAATAATTGCCTAAAATGTTTGGACTTAGAAGGTGAAGAGATCTCTGTTACTTAATCAAAGGATATTTACCACCAAAATATTATCATGGACCTATTAAATTCCAGAAAATGCAGTATTTCTTTTTACTTGAAACCTTCTACATGAATATTTCATTATCAAGTGAAACCCAACATTATAAAAGTTTTCCTTCCTCACTTTCATATGTCACATCTATTCTCTCAGGTACCCGAGTATGAAAATCTAGAAGTGTCCCGGCATCTGTCCACTTCATTTTCCATGGTTGGTCAGCTACTAAGTCCCACACATTTTTACTTTTACGATGTCTTTCAGTAACCCATGATTTCTTTCCATCCCCTATGTCATCATACTGGTCCATATCCTCATGACCTTCTCAGGCCTGTCAGGAGTGGGGAGTGGAAAGGATGGCCAATCATACTGAGTCCAAATGCTTCTGCCTGACTTTCGAGGTCATCCATAGCCTGCACTTCCATTACCCACCCAGTACTCCCCTGCCCTAGTCAGATCAGGCTTATTTCCCTGCAAATGGGTAATGTTCTTTACTTCAGGAATCTGTCATGGCACTTTCCCATCTACTCATTCATCTACTTTTTTTTTGAACAGGGTCTGTTGTCGTGGCTAGAGTACAGTGGCACGGTCACAGGTCACCGCAGCCTCAACCTCCAGGGCTCAGGTGATCCTCCCATCTCCCGAGTAGCTGGGACTACAGGTGCGTGCCACCATGCTCGGCTAATTTTTTGATTTTTTTGTAAAGACAAGGTCTTGCTAAGTTGCCTAGGCTGGTCCCAAACTTCTGGGTCCAAGCAATCCTCTGGTCTTGGCCTTCCAAAGTGCTAAGATTATAAGTATGAGCCACTGCACCTAACTTGTTCATCTATTTTTTAAATCCCTACAATGTTTTTAATCTCTCAATCTGTATTTCACAATTTAGCACCTATTCATTTGCTGTTTTAGAGGTTCACTACTGTTTCAAGAATGTTGGTGTTTGTATTTACATATTATAAATGCCCTGAGAGGGGCCCACTGTTGGCTTTTCAATAGTCCCTACTACAAATGTCCCTGTATTGTCTACACAGCACATACTGACTCAATAAAATCTCTCGTTCTATTTATTTCTACATAACCCTCTCAATTTACACTCACTACTCATTTGCATGGATTATTTTGTTGAATTAATAAAGTTTATTGAAAATTAGGCAGGGTACAGCAGCTCACACCTATAATCTCATCACTCGGAGAGGCAGAGGCAAGAGGACTGCCTGTGCCCAGGGGTTTGGGACCAGCCTGGGCAACTTGGCCAGACCGCATCTACACAATAAATCAAAAATTTAGCCGGGTCTGGTGGCAGGTGCCTATAGTCTCACTCAGGAGGCTGAGGCTGAAGGATCGCGTGACGCTGAAGGATCGCCTGAGCCCAGTAGGTGGAGGTTGCGGTGGCTGTCAGCATGCCGCTGCACTCCAGCCAGGGCGACAGAGTAAGACTCCAACTCAAAAACTTTAAAAAGATCAATTGTTTTCAAACGTATGTTATCATTTAGTATGTACGTAAGTATGTAAGTCAGTAAGTCAAGCCGGCTAGTCAGAACTGGTGAAAAGTCCACCTTCATGCTCACCTTTTCCTCCTCTTTCAAACACACAATGTTTCCTGGGTCGTGGCGAAGGGGATCTGAAAAATTCCTGACCCATCTTCCAAACGCGATAAAAGCCAAGGGCCTTATTTCCAAAGGTTTTTTTCTTTGTGAGCCCAGAACTTGCAATGACATTTACTATGTTGCTCATCCTTCAAACGGAACTGCACAATTTGTCAATTTACACTTTAAAAAAAGTCAGGCTTTCTTTTTCCATCTTTCATTTCTGTCCTTATCAAGTTTGTTAGGTCTTTTAAATATTCATCAAATATTTGGATAAATTCCAGAGACCCTCTAAAGTTGCTTTAAGATAGGCGTTAAATGACGTGTCACAAGAGTTACTAGCAAAAACTGAAGTTTTGGTTAAAAATTTCTTCAGTTGTTATAACACACCTTGACTTTTTAAAAGCACTAATTTACACCTAAAAACACGGCATCGAACTACTTAAAACGCGAATGTGTGCTCACTTCCAGGGCCCGCAGTCTCCTGGACCCGCACTAAGGACCTCGCACTTCCTCCCTCCGCACAGGGTTCGGCGGGAGGGAGGAGACGCTTTTCAACCGTTTCCCCGAGGTCTTCCCCGGCCTCGAGCCGGGCGGCAGGCGAGCCGCCGCTACTCAGTGTGACGTCCGCCCGCGCCAGCCAATCTTGGTGGGGAAAGGAGCCGCCCGCTAGGCCCGAGCGACCCCTGCGCGGGCGTGGCGTGGGGGCCTTCAGCGTCTCTGGTCCCAGACAGCCCGTGGGCAGCTGGAGCGGCCTCCGCAAGCGGACACACAGAGCGAAGCGCAGGAACAGAAAACTTCTGGAGGACATGCCAGCACGTGCCTCGCCGGGCAGGCGACTCCGTAGGCCCGCCTGACAGTGCGGAATGTCTCTCTCGCTTACCGTCCGGGAGCGCAGCCTGGCGGGGAGGAGGGACTTCCGGCTAGGCATACTTCCGGGAGGGCGGAGTTTCTGGGCCGGAGTGCCAGAGTGGCCGTGTTGTTGGCCTGGTTTCCCTGTAGCACGTGGCTGGCGCCGTGAGATTCTGAGCGGTTTGCAAGGCGGGGATCAGCGCAGAGGCCGTGGGATCGCCGCGGGTGGGTCCGTCTCTGTGTCGCTCCTGTCCCCGCGCAGAGCAGACGGCCCCTGGTGGCGCTGGAGATCGTGTTTCTCTCATGGACTACCGGCGGCTGCTGATGAGCCGGGTGGTCCCCGGGCAGTTTGACGATGCGGATTCCTCCGACAGGTAGACCTCCGTAGGGCACACCGACTCTGTTGGGATTCTGCTCTCTCCATCTCTGCCCTCCTCTTTTGGGGAGGTGACACTTGCTCGTGGTTTAGAGGGAGACTAATGGGTCACCATCCAGAGTCTCTCTTGGTAACCTTTTGCTTCTCTTTGCATCCCAGCCGGGTCGTTCATCAACGGAAGCTGCTTGTCAAGGGAGTCTACGGTTCCCAGGTCTGTTAGCGTCACTGAGAGGCAGAGTTGGGGTTAGCGATTGGCAAACAGATTTTTGCATTTTAACCGCATCCAGCGTTCAACAAATACTGAGCACTGTGTGCCACGTTCTGTCCTCGGTGCTGGAGATAGGGATGAACAAGACAAATCAAGTCCCTGCTGTCATAGAGCTTTATCTTCTGCTTGGAAGGGAGCATACCATTTAAAAATCAGATAATGATGTATACTATGCAGATAATTAAAATAGGTTGACATGCTAAGTCCTGACTGGTCAGAGAAAGGTTAAGTCCAGATTTGAACGACAAGGAGCAAATCTCTTGAAGAGCATGGGTAACAGCATTTCAGGCAGAAGGGATAACAAATCCAAAGGCCTGGAGGTGGAATTCTTTATGGCTGTGACAGGAAGATGATGAAGAAGCCAGTGTCCTTAGAGCACCATGGAGGTAGTGAGAAGATAGATCGGTGATGATAGAGTAGTGAGAAGGGGCTAGGTTCACGTAGAACCCTACACTAAGGGATTGTAAGGAGCTGAGGTATTATTTTAGTCTTACAGAAAGCCACAGGAAGGATTTAGCAGAATGATGTCCATTTGATTTGTGATTTAAATAAGTCAGTCTTTTATGTAGACGATGAGCATGGATAGGAAGAATGGAACAGACCAGTTCAGAAGTAATAATCAGGTTCAACGATGGTGGGAACTAGACCTCAAGTCCTAGAAATATGTTTGGGAGGTAGAAGTGGCAGGATTTGGTGATAGATTGGATGTGGAGAATCTGAGGAAAGTAAAATGAAGGATAACTTCTACCTGAAAGCAAAATGAAAGAGTTATTTCGGAATTCCAAGAAAATGGTTTGTAATTTATGTGTACAGTAAGGATTCATTACATGTAGATATTATTAATCAGGTGGGATATTTTCAGTGAATCTATGTTGACCACTTTTTTTTGGAGTCTCACTCTGTCGCTCAGGCTGGAGTATAGTGGCACCATCATAGCTACCACAGCTTCGACCTGCTGGGCTTAGGTGAACCTTCCACCTCAGCCTTACAAGTAGCTTGAACCACAGGCACATGCCACCATGCCTCACTAATTTTTTGATTTACTGTAGAGATGAGGTCTCACCATGTTGCCCGGGCTGATCTCAAACTCCTGGGCTCAGGCAGTCCTTTCGCCTCTGCCTCCCAAAGTGCTGGGATTACAGGCATAAGCCTCCATGCCTGGCCGACCACTTTCTATATGTTAGGTAAATATCATCCTGAATAATAGAGCTTGCACTCTGTTAGGGGAAACTATGTTAAATAATTAGGCAAATCATTCGTATTAGAATTGATAAGTAGTACAAATGAGAAATGGGTGAAGAATAAGGAAGACTTTCCTGAGCAAGTAATAAACCGATACCTGAGGGATGAATAGGGGTTAAGCAGAGAAATGTGAAGGACATTCCGGTCACAGAGCGGCATACAAAAAGCCTTAGGGAAGAAGTTAAGCAGCATGAAGAAACAGCCAGTGTAGCTGGTTATGAGTTAATGGTAATGAGAATGTACTAATTTAGCCATCCACCATAGGATATTGTGAGGATAAACTAGTGGCTCTCCAATGGGGGGCAATTCTGCCATTCCCACTTCCACTCAGGGGGCTGTTGGCAATTTCCGTAGGCAATTTTGTCACAACTGGGTGTGGTAGTATGCTAGTGGCATCTGAGGTAAAGGCCGGAGATGGTAATAAACGTCCTACAATGCAGAAGACTGTCTCCTACAACAAAGAATTATATGGATGAACTTGAGAAGCCTTTGTGCAAAGTTTTAACTTTAACATGCCACTCTACATTATTGGTAATAGTAGGATCAATTTATGGAGTATATTTATGAAGTCCTAGTAAGTAGCAGGCATTTAGTGATTATTTGCTCTCTTCCTACTTGCGTCCATGGGGATTTGGAGCCCTCTGAGCCATGGCTAATTAATAGGGATTGAGGCTGGTGTAGTGATTCACACCTACAATCCTAGCACTTTGAGAGGCTTAGGCAAGAGAAATGCTTGAGCCCAGGTGTTCATGACCAGCCTGGGCAATATTGCAAGACCTTGTCTCTGCAAAATAAATTTTAAAAAATTAACTGGGTTGATGGTGTGCACCTGTAGTCCTAGGTATTCTGAAGGCTGATGCAGAAGGATCACCAAGGCTGCAGTAAACCATGATCTTGCCACTGCCCTCCACCCTGGGTGACAGGGAAACCCCGACTCAAAAATTGGGTTTTACACCTGAATTTTCTTAAATTCATGTCTGACTTTTTAAGCTGATAGTGCATATTAGCAGTTGTTTTATATGGTTTCTGTCCTTATTCTCAATATGCGAGGTCAAAACTGGTAGTACCCCTGTTGAATGTGGCCTACAGACATGTTTTGTTATGCAGTGTTTTATAAAAATTGAATATGCCAAGTAAGTGGAAGATTTTCTATAAAAATACAGATTTCTGGCTTCTCTTTAAAAACTAAGATCTGGTAACAATAGGCCTGAATTCTCATATGGCAAAACAGACACACAAACCAAAAACCCAGCCTTACTAGTTGTGCTCCCTTTGCCCTGGACCTCTTCCCCCAGTTTGCTAGTCCCTACTTCTTTTATCTTATACCAGCCTCCTTCACTCGTTCATAGTGTTTGGCCCCTGTATTCACCACTTCTTCCTCATGAACAAGAGTACTAGCAGCAGGTTTTATTTTTGAGTTGGAGTCTCACTCTGTCACCCAAGCCGAAGTTCAGCGGCACGCTCATGGCCACCACAGCCTTGACCTGCTGGGCTCAGATGATCCTTATGCCTCAGCCTTCCAAGCAGCTGGAACTACAGACATGCACCACCACACCCGGCTAATTTTCGGATTTATCGTAGAGATGAGGTTTCGCCTGGTTTCCCAGGCTGGTCTCAAACCCATAGGCTCAGGCAATCCTCTCAACTTGCCCTTCCAAAGTGCTGGGATTATAGGCATGAACCACCACACCCAGCCTAGCAGAGTTCTTTAACGCAAATTTTGATGCAGCTTCTTTTGTTGCAAAGTAGTGAGTTCAAAGCAAGGCTGCCTAGACTTACTTATTCTCAATTTTTGTCAAAACTTTTTCTCCCCGCCTCGTAAATTTTCCTCTATTATTATTATTATTATTTTTGAGTCGGTGTCTCACTTTGTCATCCAGGCTGGAGTGCAGTAGCATACTCACGGCCACCGCAGCCTCAACCTGCTGGGCTGAGGCGATCCTTCTGCCTCAGCATTCTAAACAGCTGGAACTACAGGTGTGCGCCACCACACCCAAGCCAATTTTTTTATTTACTGCAGAGATAAGGTCTCACCAAGTTGCCCAGGCTGGTCTCGAATTCCTGGACTCAGGCAGTCCTCTCGCCTCAGCCTCCCAAAGTGCTGAGATTACAGGCTTGAGCCACCGCATCTGGCGAATTTTACTTTTAGAGGCAGGGGTCTTGTTCTGTTGCCCAGGCTGGAGTGCAGTGGTATAATCAGAGCAAACTTCAAGCTCAAACTCCTGAGTTCAAGCACTCTTCTTGCATCAGCTTCCCAAGTAGCTGGGAGTACAGGTGAGCGACAACATGCCTTGTTAATTAAAACACATTTTTTTTTAGAGATGGTCGCATAGTGTTGCCCAGGCTGGTCTCAAACTCCTGGCCTCAAGTGGTCCTCCCACTTCAGCCTCCCAGGTAGTTGGAATTACAGGCATGAGCCACCAGCTTTTTTTCTGCTCTTTTATAGTGGCTCTGTGAATGGTTTTCCTAGAATCAAGTCTGTTGTACTGGTCAGTCAGTTTATTCAGCAGAGAAGATAACAATGTAAATTTTAACTTCAGCAAGGCAGAAGCAAATTTAGTACAGTCCTAATGGGATTTGGGCAAGGCGAATAAGCAAACAACTGCGACAAAACTGAAAAACAGAAGAACTTGGTACTAAAAAGATTAAGCTTATTGGGAGACATGTTTTTTTAAGGAAACCTTTTAGATTTATCAATATAAATTAATCTGTTGTGTCATAATTAATATGTGAGTTCAGTTAGGGTGTGTGTAAATATGCCAAAACATTATTATTTCTAGTGAAAACAAAGACTTGAGTACAATTAAAGAGGAAGATGACATCCTGTTTGAAGACCTTCAAGATAATATGAATGAGAAGAAGGGTGAAGATGAGATGGAGGAAGAGGAGGATTATGATGATGATGATGATTGGGACTGGGATGAAGGAGTTGGAAAACTCACCAAGGGTTATACCTGGACTGGAGGAAGTAACCCACAGGTATTTTATAAGTGACTCTTCATATCTTTATGTAGTCTGCTTATATATTCCTACCTGTGTCCATGGGGATTTGGAGCCCTCTGGGTTATAGCTAATTAATCAATTGGGATTGAGGCAGGTACAGTGGCTCACGCCTATCATCCTAGCACTTTGGGAGGCCAAGGCAAGAGAATTGCTTGAGCCCAGGAATTCAAGACCAGCCTGGGCAATATAGTGAGACCTCGTCTCTACAATAAATCAAAAAAGTAGCCACACATGGTGGCATGAATGTGTAGTCCCAAATACTTGGAAGGCTGAGGTGGAAAATTTCACCTGAGCCCAGCAGGTCAAGACTGTGGTAGCCATGAGCATACCACTACATTCCAGCCTGAGCAACAGAGTGAGACTTTGACTTAGAAAATAAATAAAATTTAATTTATTGTGAGCCTTATCTCTACAATAAATTTTTAAAAAATTTTTTTGAGTCAGAGTCTCACTCCATCACCCCAGCATCAACCTGCTGGGTGGCTAGAGTGCAGTGGCACACTCACAGCCACCCCAGCATCAACCTGCTGGGCTCTGGTGATCCTTCCGCCTTAGCCTTCCAAGTAACTGGAACTACAGGTGCACATTACCATGCCCGTCTGATTTTTTGATATATTGTAGAGACGAGGTCTTGCCAAGTTGCCCAGGCGGGTCTCAAGCCCGTGGACTCAGGCAGTCCACTCGTGTGGGCCTCCCAGAGTGCTGGGGTTACAGCTGAGCCACTAAGCCCAGCTACAAAAGTTTTTTTTTTAAGTGAAAATATTGTGGTGTTCTATACAAATAAGAAACAACCCAACCTAAGAGTTTCATGCTGAGATAATAGAATTCAGTCAGTGATTGTTATAGGCCCTTTTTATCTGTTCTCTTGCTTATGGATTTGGATATTGTGTCCACTTCTTTCTCTTTTTGCCACTATTCACGTGTGTGCATAGCACCAGTCTTGATTGCTAAGGCTCATACTTTCCCTCTGTTGAGTTATTGGGCCTAAAGTGGAATTATGAACCAGTGTAATACTGGTCTTAGTCCTTTGTTATACACTTTGGGATTAAATGAGCATTCTCATACTTTAAATCTATCAACTAGTCAAATTAGAAAAATACATTCGCTTTTAATTTGTTATTATAGTGTATATATTGTAGAGAAGAAAAATAAATTATGCTGATTATTTGTTCTAGCCAGTAACTTTAACCTTCTTCTATTTCAAATGCCTTAAAAACTTTGTTTTGAGATAATTTAATTAATTCTTACCTTTCCTTAGGTAAGAATTCTTACCTTTCCTGAGCCCAGCAGGTCAAGACTGTGGTAGCCATGAGCATGCCACTACACTCCAGCCTGAGCAACAGAGTGAGACTTTGACTTAGAAAATAAATAAAATTTAATTTATTGTGAGCCTTATCTCTACAATAAATTTTTTTAAAATTTTTTTGAGTCAGAGTCTCACTCCATCACCCAGGCTAGAGTGCAGTGGCACACTCACAGCCACTCTAAGTATTGATACTTTAATAGCTAACTGTGAACTAAGGGAAAAAAGTGTGATGATGAACCTGAGGTTTATATTTACAACTAGCACCTTGGACTCTGGAACTCATTTCTTATAGGTGAATCGACAGACTTCCAACTGCAGTTCGGCTAAAATGTCTACGCCAGTGGACAAGGTCTTACGGAAATTTGAGAATAAAATCAATCTAGGTGAGTTTACAAAAAAATTACCTCACTAGACTATGAGGAAATGCATTAAAAACCATGAAGTGTGATACAGTTTTATTAGCCACTATTATTACATCAAGAAATGAATATATTCAGGTGTTACCGACTCATTAATAATGATTAGAGAAATAAACATTTTAGTGATTTTAAAACATAGCTTCAAGTAAAGGCCCTGAATGATGGCTCACACTGGTAATTCCAAGATTTTAGGAGGCCAATGTAAGAGGATGCTTGAACCAAGGAGTTTGAGACCACCTAGGCAACATAGTAAGACCTCATCTCTCCAAAAAATTTTTTCAAAAATTAGTTGGGTGTAGTGGCTTGTGGCTGTATTCCCAGCTACTTGGGAGACTGAGGCAAGAGGATTGCCTGAACTCAGGACGAGGCTGCAGTGAGCTGTATTATTATACCACTGCTCTCCATCTTGGGCAACAGAGTGAAACCTTGACTCAAAACCCAACAAATGAACATAGCTTTAAGCAAAGACTTTAACTTATGCTTTTTAAAGTTCTCTTTTCTCACCTTTTGTAGGAGTCTGAAGTTACAGATACTCATTCAAGTCATTGTTTTGTATTCGATTTTGTAGTAGGGTCATCTCATAGGTGGTTGAAAATACCAGAGTGCTGAATAAAGTTACATTTTGTTTTACTAGAGACTTCTTATTTTTATGTAGGCGTTAATTAATTAGGTAGCTGTCCAATGCAAGGAATCAGAATGTTGATTTGAATCACCACTTCTTTAGAAATGCAAAGTCAAGCTGGCTCAGTGGCTCAGCCTGTAATCCCGTGCCTTGGGAGGCTGAGGTGAGTGGATTGCCTGGGTAACTTGGTGAGACCTTATCTCTACAATAAATCAAAAAAAATTAGCCGGGTGTGATAGCGCACGCCTGTAGTTCCAGCTACTTGGAAGGCTGAAGCGGAAGGATCACCGGAGCCCAGCAGGTCAAGGCTGTGGTGGCCGAGAGCGGCCACTGCACTCCAGTCTGGGCGACAGAGTGAGACTCCAACTCAAAAAAAATAAATAAATAAATGCAAGGTCATCTTTCTATTCTTATGATCTTTACTTGTTATAAACCTAGCACAATGTCTCTCATATAAGCTGTCAATGCATGCTGAGTTAATAAAAGTATTTTAGGGTCTTTGTTGTCTATCATAAACTTGTAACTTGAAATGAAGCTGAAGTTTTTAGAATGAAACTTGAATTTATGCAGTTACATTATCTATATTGGTCATACAAAATATTAACAAGAGTCTGAAACTGAATATATGTAAATATAGCATTTTTGAGAAATTTCTGCATCTAGAATTCCGTGGCTCAAAATTTACAGCTGTAGTGATGAAGGGACATTTTTTATGAAACATAACTTAACACTTGCTTTTATTTTATTTATTTATTTATTTTTTATTTTTTTGTGTTGGAGTCTCACTCCGTCACCCAGGCTGGAGTATAGTGGCATGCTCATGGTCACCCTGGTGTCAACCTGCTGGGCTTCTGCGATCCTTCTGCCTCAGCCTTCCAAGTAGCCAGAACTACAGGCGCACACCATGCCTGATTAATTTTTTATTTATTGTAGAGACAAGGTCTCGCCAAGTTACCAGGACTGGTCTTGAACCCTCAGGCTAAGGCAATCCATTCTCCTTGGCCTCCCAAAGTGCTGGGATTACAGGCTGAGCCGCCGAGCCTGGCCAGTGCTTGCTTTTAAAAATAAAACATAAAATTTTTTTGTTACTAAAATATATCCTACTATAATAGATTATTGAGAAAATACAGAGGAAAAGGAAGAGGGGAGAAGTGTCCTTTTTAGCAAAACTGTTAATATCCTTTTGTCTTACATATTGTTTACATTGTGGATTTTTTATATTTCTAGATAAACTGAATGTTACTGATTCTGTCATAAATAAGGTCACTGAAAAGAATAGACAAAAGGAAGCAGATATGTAAGTAATATATTAATGATAAAATGTGGAAGATAGGGATTAATTCTAGACTAAGTAGCATCTTGGTCATAATTCTTTTGCAGAAGATGTTTATTTGTGTGCTTAAACTAACATTTTTTGTTTGTTTTTTTAGCTTAAATGCCTTTGTAAATTGAAAATATTAAATGAATCTTCTTAAGAAATACATAGTGAAACTATAATCTTGTGAAATTCACAAATGTGCTCCATGAGGGTAACAGTGTTTGTAGATTTCAGTTTAAAATATGTAAAGATGTTCCTTTTCTAAAATGTATTAAGAATTATTCCCTTCCACAAAGTATTTTTTAAAAATTCAAGACACGACTAAAAAACTAACTAATGATATAAATGAGAACTGCTTCTGTTTACACTTCTGTTCACAAAACCAATTGTTTAAGATATGGCTAGCATATGTACTAATAACTCTAAAGTATTATCACTATATTGAATGAAAATGACACTAAGATCATACAACTAACAGTGTTAGAACTGAAATTAAAAATCAACTTCCTTTTTGATGTATTGCTATGTCTGAGAGATACCAACTTTTTAAGAACCACCGTAGTCATTTGTTATTTCACTAAAGTGTCTGTCTGAATCTTGGTATGTGGTTAAGCCTTTATTAATTTAGGAGAGTGTGCTAGATTGAGTCACCCAGTGTGTGAACTGATGCAAATTAGAGTCTACCTTTAAAGACTGTCTTGAAGTGAGTTAAAAAAAAAAAGGTTGAATCTTTGTGGAAAATAACTAAAGAAAAAGCCTTATAAATGACTTTTCTTCTGTACGAATACAATAATTAAAGATTTGAAGAACAGTACAACAGACTTGATGTTAACTTTTTTTCACTGTAGTTCCCTTTGCCTTCGCTACTTTTTTATTTAATGCTTCTGAAATATGGATAGACTTTTTTTTCTGCCTATGGCACACATACCCCTTTTGCCTTAGAGAACAAAATTGCATATTCAGGGGGAATGAAGAAAGTGTCACTGAGTAAAGACTCCACAATCAGATCATAAAATCTGTTATTAAAGAAACTACCTATTTAGGAATTCTCATGAAATGATGTACATCATTGATGTACAAGGTTTTTATTTTGGCTTCTCACTGAATTTTGTGTCAACTATACTTTCTTGTTTTTGGTTAGGTATCGCATCAAAGATAAGGCAGACCGAGCCACTGTAGAACAGGTACCATTTAAATGTGTTGAAAGCTCTTATTTTGAATTAGCATTTCTTTTCTCTTTGAATTATATCATCCTTCTTGCTCGATGCTAATGTTACCTAAAATTACTCCTATATAAATTAAGCCTCTTTATAGTTTCCAGTTTGCTTTATTAATAATACTATTAGTGATAAGCCTGAGTCATGGTCCTTCTGTGACCCTGTAGAGCCACCATGCAGTGCTGTTCCCTTCTTCTTGGGGGAAGCAGAGAGATGATCAGACCAGGAATCTTTTTAAAGCAAGGTCTGTAAGAATTTTGTGAGCTTTCCCACAAGATAGGTCAGGTATCTGCCACAGAGCAGGGGATGTGGGTATGAGAGACAGAGAGGCTGGTAATGCCTTTAAATTTCTTTGTTTAGAAATTATGCTGGTTTTGTTTTTATTCGAGAATGGGGGGAAATTGGCCCCTAATTTCTCCACATCCAGAGGGATGTGATTGGCTATTAGCACTGGCCCAGATTTTTTGTGATGAATGTGATCAATCGGGTGAGAACACTGCTTTTGCCACCTGCCACTCCTTTCTCCACCATACACATACGCACCAACACATGTTTTAGCATGGTAGCCTCTTCCCCCACAGACCCTTGGTTTAAGACATAAGCACCCCTTCCATCCATCTCCAATCTCCAAGAGTAGCACCTAATCTGAGATCCAGAACCGTTTGCACTATTGAATTCCACCATGAGGCAGAAGCAGAGTCTGGGGTTTGTGTCTTCATTGTCCTCCAATTTATTTTGTGTGATTGAAAGCACACAAAATAATCATACTTGATCTACCTTGGCAGTGAGGCGGCCTTACGTTCCAAAGACCCTAAAATAACAGAGGCAGGGAATCCTTTTTCTCCTTCAGAATTTATGTTGAATGAGAGAGTATATAATTTGACTCTTAAGCTATCTTTTAAAAATATTTACTTGTTTATAAGTTTGTCATTTCTCTTTTCCTATTTTATTCTTAAACCATCTGTATGTTACTCTTTCCTATGCCCTTTACTGGTCTAACTACCAATTTTGCAGACGCACAGGTCTGTACCTGAATCCGTGAACTCAGCCAGCTGCCTTTCCCTCTTTGCTTACCTGTGCAGTGGTGAAAGATTGGAAATTAGTACCTATTCACTCACTTTCCTTTCATCCGTCTGTAGTTGCCATGCTTGTAGTTTGGCTTTTAGTCCTGCAGTCTTCTGAGGTTATTTTGTTTACGTTAACCTAGATTTCTGGCATGAGCTCTGCCACCCCCTTGAAGGACAGACCCTGAAGTATAGTTGAGTTTGGCCAGTTTAGACTCTCACTTCCGGGAGCTGGTGGGACCACCTGAGCCACCAGGGGCTGTTGGCTGGTGAAATTGCATATAGATATTTGGCTGCTTTACTTTCAGACAAGAACAGACTTTAAATTAATTGCCTTTTGTTTATTAAAGAGGACTTTGAAACTCTTTTTACTCAAGGTCAACTCTTAACTTTGGAAAGAGGCCCTTACTCTGATTTACTCATCTATAATGGCAGGGATCTACAGACTCTTGAAAAGGCCAACTGTTAAATATTTTGAGTGTTGCAGCCTACAAATAGTTTCTGTTGATTTTTTTCTTAAGCAATTCTTTAAAAATGTAAAACCCAGTCTTAGTTTACAGACTATAGAAAAACAAGCTGTGGCCTCATCGCATTTAAAGAAGTTAAAAAGAAACAGGTGAAATTATTTTAATAAATTTTATTTACCCAACATATGTAAAAGACTATCATTTTTACCTGTTTCTTTTTTTAACTTTTTTAAATGTGGTGACTAGAAAATGTAATATTACTTATGTCGTTTATATTTCTATTAGCTAACATTGGCCTAGACTCAATTTCTGTTTTCCTCGAACTAGGTAGCTCTTGATTTCCATGGCTAGATGAACTTGTTGGTTTGTTGTTTCTTGCTCCTTTGACCTTTGCCTCATTCATTTAGTCAACCAGGATAGCATAGTACAATTAAGCTCTTCAGTTTAGTAATTGTCATAGAATTTTAGTGAGAAAGATTTGGTGTACTGTCTTTATGAATTTTTTTTTTCATTTTTTAGGTGTTGGATCCCAGAACACGAATGATTTTGTTCAAGATGTTGACTAGAGGAATCATATCAGAGATAAATGGCTGCATTAGTACAGGAAAAGAAGTGAGCTTTTCTTTGGATGACTGAATGTTTTCGTGTTAGTTTTCTTATTTCAGATACCAGATGAAACTAAGGCACTTATTTAGCAAATATATTGTGCCTTTAAAAAGAAAAACAAAACTGTACATAGGATACTTTAATATAGTTTTCCTGAAACTGGCTTTATTAATATTTGTGATTAGATAGGGAGTTGTGCACATAACTGTACCTTTTTTTTTTTTTTTTTGAGACAAGGTCTCTGTTGTCCATGATCACAATTCACTACAGCTTCAAACTCAGGCTCAAGTGGTCTTCCCTCTTCAGTCTCTTGAGTAGCTAGGACTACAGATGTGTACTATCGTTCCTAGCTAATTAAAAAATTGTAGAAACCAGACTCGGTGGCTCAGTCTGTAATCCCGCGCTTTGGGAGGCCAAGGTGAGTGAATTCCCTGAGTCCATGGGTTCGAGACCCGCCTGGGCAACTTGGAGAGACCTTATCTCTACAATAAATCAAAAATTAGCCGGGCATGG